AGCTTTCGTTTTTTTAAGTTTTTATGGACTTTTTAAATTCTCCAATTATAAGAAATATATATTTTTTAAATATTTTATCGGTTTATTTATTAAATCTATTTATATATACATATTTTTAGTCATTGAACTTTTAAATTAAAAGATGAAAATTATACAAAACTTTAAAATTGAGGATTAAAAATGTGTGTATTATAAAAATTATATATATGGATTTCAATACAAAATTTGCATTCAATTTAAAACTAATTAGTAATAAAATCACATACTTATTTGTTATGCATTCGATATGAGATTTTTCCACTCAACGCACTCCTTCACGTATAAGCTCACTATAAATATTGAATGCTATCACGTGACTTAATACGCCTTTTTATATGCAACTCCAATGTTAACTTTGGATTATATCAAGTGGGTTAATAATAAATTTCTTAGAATATAACCTAAACTTCGATACTATGTAAAATTTTTACAGAGATGATACTCAAATAAAAATAATTTTTTTAAATAAATCATGTTAATATGAAGGTATGGTCCTTAAAATAATAAAAAAAATTAATTTGAAAATACATAAAAACTTACGTACTTATTTATTATGCACTCAATGTAAAATTTTTCTAGTCAACACATATATTGATTAATTTAACTAATTAACTGATGAAAAAATTAGAAAAAAGTACATTTTTTTATAATTGAATGATAAAAAAATACATAAAAAAATTAAGAAATGAAAATGTGCAAAACTCTAAAGTTGAATGATTAAAATTAGTATTTAATTAATATTATAAGATTTTTTTATTTAAACATTCACACATGAGAAGAGTATTATAAGAATACAAATTAAAAGTGTAATTATTATTTTACTGTCATACAAAATTTTTTAATTAAGTATTTACTTAGATAAATATTAATTTTTAGACTTTTAAACTATTTAAGAGACAGGTTTCTTATTCGTTCAATTGCTGGAAAAAAGCACGACGAATCAACAATTGTGAATATTGGTATCTCACTGCAATGGGAATCCAAATCCATGGATGTGCCTAACCGGGTCTGTGCCCCAATTGGTTGGCCCCAAGTTTTAGGGCTTAGGTGAAGCAGAGATCAGGACTTCGAGCTCTGCCACCGCCATGAACTCCATCAACTTGCGACCTAATGATCGCGCGCCTCAAATGAGGGTGGAACGTTCACTTTCCTGGAAAAATTTTAACTGCTAACAAACTAACTCTACTAATTTCCTAACCATCTACCTGGTCAAAAAAAAAAAAAAAAAATAACGGTAAAGTAGCCAAAACTCATAATGCACGTCATTGGTCGTCTGTGGAAATACAAAAATACCCATCTCTTCCTGAAAGTTGAAAGCCACTCCCTGTAACGACAATGCAACAAAACAAATCTTCAAAGAAAAGATCCGTCCTAATTATATCCTCTATTTAATTACTACTACATCTACATGATGCATGATTGTATTTCACTCATCTAAGTGAAAATAAAAAAAAATCAAAAAGAGCATTCTTAATTTTAGGAGTTACAAGGTAAATTTAATTATGTGAATCAATTTTTGAATGGTTTAATTAATAAGATTGCAACACATGATGTGATGTGGGAAACAAAGGGGAAATGAATTAATTAGAAGTTGAAAGTATACAAGTATATATACAAACATATATGATGGCAAATGGCAAAACTCCAAAATTTACTTCTCAAATAGGGCAGAACAGATCCATCCGAAAAAAAAAGAGTTAAATTTCACTTTTAAATTTTTAATTGAGATAAATGACTTATTATTTAATAATTGATGTATAGTAATAATTGACATCATTACTCTAACACGTGAATTTTTAGTTAAAAATATGCCTAAATAACAAACAAATTCTTGATGTATAATAACAGTAACTATTAAATAATGAATCATTTATCTCGAGTAACACTTTAAATGGACAATTTATTTTTAATTTTTTAAGAAGCATATTAATCCTATTTGGGGGGAGGGATTTGAGTGTTCACCCATGACAAATTAGTGGCTTGGTTAATTATTGAGTAGAAGTTATGGGACCACTGATGATATTCCTTGCAAAGGGAAAGGTCAAACGGGTGCATGACTCCAGCTCTATACTAACACATAATAATTAAACAAAATCTAGTTACCTTTTATTTATTCAAAATTTAATTTAAAATTTAAAAAATTATGTTATTAAATATTAATATTTAAATTAAAAAATAATTATATTAAAATATATAATAAAATTTCAAATCTATATATTAATATTTAATAAAATAAAATTTTAATTTTTAAATATAAATTAATACTGCTTTTAATCTCGTTTAAAATAATTAAAATATTTAATTAATTTCATTAACTATTCACTAACGTAATCATTATAATCATTTAATTATATATTAGATTTGATAAATCATCTTCTTTTTTTTTGTGTTTATTAACAAAACGGGTTGGGTTGACCCAATACAAAAAACAAAACCCATGCATCTGAATGGGTTTAAACAGATCAAAAACCCAAAACAAAACAGAGTGAAAACTAGAGTTCCTGCCATTCATTTGATATACTCCCCATTTTTCTCAGAAATATAAAAATAAAGGATAAGAACATATACGGTAAGATTAAACCAAATACAACATACAACCACGTAAAATCTGAACACAAAAATGTATCATTTCATTTCATCAACCAGTTTTACATTTCTACAGATCTAGATTCACAACCAACGCAAATGCATATATCAAGAAAGGGGCGAAGATTGAGAGGTACATTTTTGCTTCGGATCCAGGGTACCCCACCCACGGGATAGTCCCTGAATCTTCAGCAAAAAAAAAAAACCAATTCTCAAGCTCCTCTGTAAATATCGATACCTAAGCGAGAGAAATCAGACAAAAACAGCAAGCCGCAGAGCAGGAACAGCCACCGGAGAATCACCGAAAAGACACCGGAAATCACCCCAAGCTCCTTCTCTCTTCTGCCCTTCTGCCCCGAATCCTGTTCCCTCTACCATTGCTGTTTCTTCATAAATCACCGAGAGCACAAACTGGAAATTTCTGAGAGTTTTGTCCCTTTTGTGCGGCTGTCACAGAGAAGAAATACAAGTGGTTTTCTATGGTTTTGAGTAGAGAGAGTAGCTGGTGGTGATCGGTGAAAATGATGAGATCAGAGATGATCGGCAACAATGGTGGTGAGATCCAACTCGGGGGGCCGGAGAGAGGTTGACGATTGGAGACTCCAGGGATTTTTTCTCGTGGATGCCCTCCCCGCTTTTTTGTACCATCTCCACCTAAAATTGTTTTGTGCGGCTCGGGTTTTGGTCTTTTAGTTTTGGGGGAGAATGGGCTAAGACTTTGGTTGGGCTCCGATCAAGACCCAACCGCCCAAACGATTTTTTTCTTTTCTTTTTCTTTTTCTCCCTTTCTTTTTTTTTTTTTGGTTAAACCCCTATTTGGGTCCCTCAACTATTGTACGGACCTCATATTTGATCCCTGAACTAAATAAATCCCTAATTTGGTCCTTAAACTATTGTACGGACCCTTAGTTGATCCCTAAACTATTGTACGGACTCTCAAGTTAATCCCTAAACTATTATACGGATATCTAATTTGGTCCATACTATTTATCAATTTAACCTTAACTTGGTCCTTCTATTAAATAATAGCTCAGGGACCAAATTGGAACGAAATTGTAAACAGTAAAGACCAAATTGGGGGTCAATACAATAGTTTAAGGACCAACTTAGGCCAAATTATAAACAGTGGGGACCAAATCGGGTCGTACAATAGTTTAAGGACTAAATTAGGGATTTCTTTAGTTCAGGGATCAAATCGGAGGTCTGTACAATAATTCAGGGACTAAAATGGGAATTTAACCTTTTTCTTTTGAGCATTCGTTTCTGATATATTAGGTTATGCCTCTTTCTGTTCCCTCACCTTTAATTAGAGGTTTAATTTATTTGTTTCAGTTAACAGAACAAATTAAGGTTCGCATATATTTTTCTTTTTTTCATGTTATTCAAAAATAATTAAAAAAAAACAATATTTAAGTACAAATTAAGCATCCCATAAATTAATCTTTAATACTGATCGAAGTACAGAAATATATATTCGTTACCCTTAGAGATCCATACATACATTTTTTTTTTTTGGACAACAAGATATTCTTTATTTAATGGAGTATACTACGTACTCCTACACATAAAACATTACGCACACGCACATTAATCAAACATAAAAGCAGACCATGCTGGGCAGAACAAGAATTAAGGAAATAATGCCAACCAAGTCTCATCATCAAACTTAAAAACTCATTTTTTAATAAAACCAGCATTTATTTATGTATTACCTTCATCACCATTCAGTCTAAAGTCCTTCACAGGCCGAGGGTGAGGTCCATATTGGCAGAATCATCCTCGTCAGTGTTAGTGGAGAGAGCATCAGCAGTCGAAACGCCCAGAAAACTCTGAGGGACCGAGCTGGAAGCTAGGTTCTGGTCCTGGTGCTGCTGGTGCGGCGGTGGCTGCGGCGGCTGCCGTGGACAAGTGGGGAACAGAGGAAGTAGGGGGTATTCCTGCAGGTTTTTGGCTGGAAAGTTTGGCCCAGCAGCAGCGGCTCGCTCGTGCTTGTGAGCTTTCTGATGGCCGGCACGAGCTTTAGCGGTGGCAAACCCCCGGGTACAGTAGGGGCAAGGAAAACGTCGCGGAGATGAGTTGGTGGACGAAGCTGCTGCATGCTCGGTGGGTTTGGAGGCAGAAGGTTGGCTCTGGCTGAAGAAGTTATTCATGGAGGGGTTTGCCATTGAAGTTACAGGGAGGGGTAGGAGGTAGGAGTGGATTGAAGTTGGGGGTGGCGGAGATGGAGGGGGTATATTTATAGATAGATGGAAGGCTAGGCCGGATGTATCTCCACTCGCAGTTGTATCCCCGAGTCACAATTCCCCTGAATAGATTAATATATAGGCTAACTTTTTCTTTCTTTCTT